GGGGGGGGGGGGGGGTTCAGGGCTGCCACTTCCTTTACACATCTAATCTCATTGAATTGTCCCTTCAGGCACCTAAGTTGTCATTTGCATCTGGCTCCGAAAGTTTTGCTGGTACTCAAGTATTCTTTCTAGCATCTAAAATTCAGTCACTATTAGCTAAAATTAGTAGTGCAACTGCTGAACTAATTAGCTAAAATTAGTAGTGCAACTGGTTCCCTGCTGAAACAGTGAGTCATGTTCTCCCTGCAGGAGACAATAAAGTCAAAAAGTGAAAAATTCAAATGTGCAGGCTTCATAAAACATTTCCAGAATCCTATTTAGTACAATTTTTCATTTTTAATAATTACCAAAATGACAGAAACCATACAGTGCAAAATGGGACCAGCTGTATGACAGAAGGAATGGATCACGTATTGAGAAGTCTGTCCTTAGCAAAGGCAAAAGCATCTTTAGTTTTGAATAATGCATGCAGCTTTTTCAGGTCTCCACAATTTATATTCAGAAGAGTACTGTGATCATATAGCAGAGACCCATACAATAATTTAGAGCTTTTAAAAACATTTTTCTACCGCTACATTTAATGTAATAACTAGGTCATAGTGTCCATGATTGTCAGAAACGTGTGAAAAGCAATGTTGGCTAATTGAATTTTGCTGTAATTAACTATTTAATTTACATTGTGAAAAGAGACTCCCTTTTGGCAAATAATCTGAACAATTACCTTTTTTGGAGCACTAGCTAAATTTTTTTATTCATTAAAACTGTACAAATTTTTTTTTAAAGTATCAAACACGTAGGTAAATCGTACCAAACAACAAGAAACGTAAGCATTGCTGCTCAGTTTTGAATTGTCAGGCACTTGGCATTCCTTTTCAGTTCCCTTTAGTGTTTTGTATTCTGTCTGTCTAGTGTCTGTAGAGCAGTTACTACTGCTCTTCTTGATGCTGGATAAGAGTCACTGTAGGAGACATACAGTGTGTCTAGTTATTGGAGATGTCTGCACAGGAGTTTGTAAATGGACTGTATATTTTGTATTCTCAGCACAATAATATGCCAGCAAGGAATGTAAGTGAATTTTATTACCCTTAACTTACTTATTTTTAAAGTGTTAAATTGCAGCCCTTTTTGATAGGATGTAGTTTGTGGAGAAAACATGACGGGTATATATGGGGAAACTCATTTTCTTTATTCGCATGTCTTTGAATTGAATTAATTGCTTACAGTTTTTGTTTTAAAAAATGGTAAGTACTTGTGTATGTATCTTGATTCATTGATGTTTGTTGCTAAGGTGAGCAATTAGAGTTAAAATAGAAATTGATATTTGAGTGTTAGGTTTCTGTACACACTGAGGAATCTTTTTTGTCTTTTTGCAGCATTTATTGCCCCCACCAGCCATGGTTGAAGAAAGTGAAACAGTTCAAAGTCAGGATACTGAAGTGGCAATTGAAACGCAAAGCACACAAATGGAGACTGAAAAGGAAGCTAAGGAAGAGGGAGAGATGACAAAGGATGAGGGACTGAAAGTGGCAGATGAAGAACATCGGAAAATGCCAGAACATCCAGGAAGAGATAGTGATAGTGAAGACAGTGGAGCTGAGTCTGAGACTGAAAAGTGAGCTGTACCCTTAGTGCATCTTGGGTGTACAAACTGGAAGAGACTAAAAATAAAATCAATTTTTTACATGGACTTCTGTTAACAATAGGCTGTGTAATATGACCTGTTCTGCATATTACTCAACGAGTACTTCAGTGGGAAAAAAAAGATTGGTATATAGTTTTAAATACTAATGGGTACTGAATTTGTGTCAGTATCAGTATTTTGTAGCGTATTTAATCATGTTAAATGGCAGGTGTTTCCTCACAATTTGTTTACAAAAGATGTTTTTATTCTGGTTTTGAATTTTTCTATCATAAACTAAAAATATGATGTCATTGGTCTCATTCACTGAGTCATTAATCAAACTTTTGTGCTTCAGCATTGATGGCGCACTTGCATTGAGGAGTTTCTTATTAAATGTTGCGGTGCTGCTACCTAGAATTGGTATTTCAAGCTTTTCAAGTGCTATTCAGCAAGATAACTACATATACCAAATTTAGGTCCAGGAGTGACTTCAGGGGGACTTTTGCATTCTTTGAGTGCATTATTGAATTAGCTCTTTAAAGAGCAGTATAACACTTTCACGTGTGGGCTGTGCTTTTTCATTTTTGCCATCTGCTGTTTTTAATATTTCAGCAAAAAAATATGCAGCTTTGCAATAGTGAACTTTGCAAACTGATAGTATTTTGCAGTTAAAAAAGCTTTCATTTTCATAAGAGGATAATTGCTCATGGCAAATAATATCAAGTGTGAAGGTGAAAGTAGTTTCCATGCAAATGGTCTTCAGCAACATCATGTTCGAGTAGGTTTTCTGGGGTATGTTCCAAATGCACATCCTTCAAAAACTCTCAGTGAGTAAAAAGTTTTCCTCTGATTCATCATCAGCATCTGCTAACTTGGCAAAAAATTCAGTGATATATACACTCTTTCCAGAAGATCTTCAAACAAAACAACAGCAACAAAACCATCCTTCTTTTTCTTTGTTGGCAAAAGAAGAATAAAGTGCCAAACTTGTGAAGCTGCCAGCAAGATTTCCTCAAAAAATATAAAGAAGAGAATCGTTCATATTAATGAAGCTTAAAATATAAGCGTTTTCTTTGATCTATTTCTTCACTTCTCCATGTGTATACTAACTCAACAACAAAAATATAGAGAAACAGTTGAAATAATATTTGAACTCACCCCCACCTTCAATATACAAATGCCACTTAATTGGAGGTTGGGTGAGACCCCATCTTTTCTTTGTAAAAATCAGCCCCCTTCTCAATTTGGGAAAGCTCTCTCATGTATTGCAATATTTAATTCTGATATTGCAGTCTTTTTGTAAGCTGTTTATCACTTGACTGCTGAGCTCTCAACCGTACCAAAGATTACTTACTCAAGGGGACTCTGTCCATTCACTGTCTATGCTATGCAAGAAAGAAAATGCAAAGGTTATTTTCAACCTTGGCTGCCACCGGCAGAGGCTCAAGCAGTACAGAGCCGAATATATACATGCACACTAGCTTGTGAAACATCATATGTTTAATTGGCCATCAGGCAATATGTGACTAGCTAAGTTGAGGGATGCCATCTTCCAAAATGTTTTCTATAAATATTTGAGTGTCTAACAATCATTTATACTGGTTCCCTTTTAAAAAAAAAAAAAAACTCCTGAAGTAGGAATGTATAAAAGTTTTTGGTTGAAATTTAGAAAGGCCGGAAAAGTTTTTGGGGGTTTTTTTTGTTTTTTTTTTTAACTGAGTGGTTGAATATGGAATCAGGAATTCCTCTTATGCAATATAGTGCATACCTGATTCTCAAGCAGGTGGCTAGGGTGCCACCAGATCTTTTGAAGGGTATCCTGAGGTGTGAAGAGAGAAATGAAATGTTAGGTGATAAACATGAAAAACTAAGTAGGTAAGTACAGGCTCAGGCTCGTCCCTACCTGAATTATCTCTAATGCCAGGCCCCTCTGCAAGGCAGTAAGCACTGTAATCTAAAAATTTGTTTTTGAAACTGGGTATTACTCCATTCATAAGTTACAGAAGAGGGCATTGTGCCCAGTGAGGGATGCCTGAAGTCTGAAAAGAGAGAACCATTGGCATAAAGGAACTAGAGAAGTATTAAAACAACAAAAGGAATTGGAAGATAATGTTGAGTGGTTGATGAAACTGTCTAGCTTCAAATCTACTGATAGCATCATCTCTACAATGCATGCTTTTACATACTGAGACTGAGTTGAGCTTTATTTGTGTACAGGCTTTTTTTCCATAGTTTCCAGGAATCCTGCCTCACAAACCCTTGGAGAAGAATTTTCACTGATTCAGATAGGTCTAAAGCCCTCTTAGACGCATAGAGTATGGCCAAAGATTTGTTCCTAAAATGACAGAAGTTATGATAAAAATTGCCATTTGGAAGGAAGACACAGTTTACTTCGCTAAGTACAGACAGTGAAAAACCCTGAGTCTGAATTGATTCAGTTTTTTCAGGTTAGTCTAAAATGCAGAGATTAAATTGAAACAGAAGCAAACAGACCTTTTATTCAGCAAATGCAGCCGTATGCCTGCAGTGGCTCAGGCCAGAAGCCGAAGGGTGCTAGAGCATGGCTCTCCAGCACGTAGTCAGCACGGACTGTGTGTTTTCTTCCTCTTCCTGCTGCCCCTGAGGTCTTTGGGATTTACAGTCCAAAATCACATTAGCGGGACTGCAGGGTTTCTTATCACTTCCTCTTACTGCTCCCAGGTACCTCAGGATTTGTAGTCCACAGTTGCAGCCAGCATTGAGCAGGAGAAAGGGTGTTTACACCACCTCCCTGGCCCCAGACCCAAGCCAGGCAGTCATGCCTGCCACCCCCCACAGACTGGACTGCAACCCTAGCTGGGCTTGCCCAATCTTTTTTTTGTTAGCCAGCCCTCACTGCTCCAGGTAGGGTGGGGCCAAATCTGATACTACATTCAACCAGGTTTATGTTAAACCAGTTTCAACTGTTTTGGACCTGGTTTATGTGCACTGAGCTTCTGAGTTCTGTTACAGATTTAACCAGATTCTGATCATTTAAACCAGTTTATAAGCAACTTTTGGTCCTAGGCCTTATTATTCGTAGCAAAAACTTAAAGTAAAACTTTACTGCAGTATTTCAGTAAGGGTGGGGCACCTTGAGTGACTGTCCCTCAAGCACTCCTTTGCACATTAGACATTAGTGACCCACTTAGCTAAACTTACACAACATATGGTCGGAGGAATGCATCTGATTTCATATTCCAGAAAGGTAAGAATGAATCTCAGTTTTCAGATATTTAGGGAGAACTGGTTTGTTGCATGTACCAGTGTTTGGAAATGTGTGCTTTTTTTTTTTTTTTTTTTTGAGGCAGCCTTTAAAGCCTTCTTAAATCTTCTATTTTTAAGTATGCTCCTTAATGAAAGGAGAATTGTCTTCTATACAAAAAAAACTCATGTAGTTTTGTGGGTTAGTGTTTGCCCTTTTTCATGTAAGAGAATGCATTAGGAACACCCAACTACTTTATAATCCATAATTTAACATTTTTAGTACTCTTTCTTGATATATGCTTGTTTTATAATATCTCCTGGTACTGTTAGCAGCTTTTGTGTTAAGTAATGAGGGGAAAAAAGACATCGTGAAGTCATTGTTTATGTTAGATTGAAGTAAAGACCGTAAACAAGCACTTTTTTCAGAACTCCAAACTTATGTATAGATTTCTATTATTTTGATTCCAAAGTATGTGAACTTTAAATAAATGATCCAACGCAGTGTTTGCAGCCCAAACATCACAACATAGTATCGTCCTACTAAAGCATTAAAACCTAGGGAGCAAAACTGAAACATTTCGTTCTCCATTCTGTGAGAACTTGAAAAACAGTGGTTTAAATGTTGAAAACAACTAATGTATTTTCTCATATACAACATGCACCTTTTTCCAATATTCAGCTCTTGGAAATGGGGCTGTAAATTATAAGTGAGGGAATACATTAATAGTTTCTGCTGATCAGGAATTGGAAAGTGACACTGCAGTGCTGCATGTTCCCCTGGGAAAAGCTCATGCCTGCTATGGAAGCTACTACTCTAGTAACTTTCTGTTACATGCTAGGATTTTGAAAGGAAGCTCTTTTCTTAGAAAATTAAGGTTCAGAGGGACCTCAGATAGTCATCTAGTCCAACCCTCTGCTCAAAGCAGGGCCATCCCCAACTAGATCATTCCAGCTAGGGCTTTGTCGAGCTGGGCCTTAAAAACCTCCAAAGATGGAGATTCCACTACCTCTCTAGGTAACCTGTTCCAGTGCTTCACCACCCTTCCAGTGAGTTTTTCCTAATCTCCAACCTTAACCTCCCTTGCTGCAACTTGAGACCATTGCTCCCTGTTTTGTCATCAGTCACCACCTGAGAACAGTCTAGCTCCATTCTCTTTAGAACCACCCTTCAGGTAGTTAAAGTCTGCTATCAAATCCTCTCTGTCTTCTCTTCTCCAAACTAAATAAACCCAGTTCCCTCAGCCTCTCCTCAGAAGTCATGTGCCCCAGGTTTAGGACACACTGAATGCTAGCCCCATTCTCCAGTGTATCTGCTACATCCCCCAGCTTGGTGTCATCCTCAAACTTGCTGAGGGTACAATCCATCGCATCTTCCAGATTGTTAATGAAGATATAGAACAAGGGTGGGCAAAATGCAGCCTGCGGGCCAGATGCAGCCTGCCAGGCCATTCTATCCAGCCCTCACTGTTTTTAAAAAATTTAGAAAATTAATATTTATCTGCTCCTGGCTGCCTGTTATGTAGCCCTCAATGGCTTGCCAAAACTCATAAGTTGGGTTTTGGCAAGCCCTCTGCCTGAAATGATTGCCCACCCCTGATATAGAACAAAACCAGCCCCAGGACTGGCTCTTGGGGCACTCTACTTGATACCAGCTCCCTAGATATTGAGACATTATAACCTGCCTAACATCTGACTCCCCAGGTACCGCTCCACTATTTACCTGCTACATTCATCCCTCTTCTCCTTCCTCCGCCGCCCAACCTCTCTCTCACCCACTGACTTTTCAGTTTACATCTTCACTGACTGCCTTTGTTGCATGCATACCAGCCTCTGGCTGCTTTACTATTCATTCCATCCAGGAAGAGCACACACCAACTGCAGCTGTTTTCTCAGCCTGATGAAGGGTTTTTAAGCCTGAAAGCTTGCTAAGAAAATTTTTTCCAACTATTTAAATTGTTCTAATAAAAGATACCAGATTCACCCAAAGAACTTTTCTTGCTAAGTCAAGGTATATTATGTCTACTGCTTTTCCCGCATCCACAGAACCCATTATCTCATTGTAGAAGGCAACCGGGTTCTTCTTCATTCCGCCTTTCAGACATAAGGTGTGTCTCTTATTTGAGAGTGTGCTGTAGGCAAGAAAATATGATATGTAAAATTATTTATTTTTACTACTCCAAAATACTTTTAAGATTGCTTTGAATATTTTGTATATGCTGTGTTAGCATGAATATAAGATTACCTTGAATATAAAACAACTCAATAATTAGGTACTCTATATGGAAAATGTATAATTGTGTTAAATTTTTCCAGGTCTACAATCTAAGGAGAGTTGTCTTGAATCCTAACACCTCCCTTCCGACCCCCGCACTGCTGCAGCAGGGAAAAGGGGGGGCGGGGTTAGGTGCCCTCCCCACCACTGTGCACTTCCATCTCTCGACAGCCTCTGCCCCTTCTCCCTCCCCCTGTTCCTGAGTCTCTGTCTCTCTCCTCCTTGGTCCCACCAGTCTCTGCCCCTTCCACCCCAACTCCACAGTTTCTGCCTGTCCTTCCTCCTGTCCCACCTCCGTGCTGTCGGATGCTGCTCTGGCCGTTATGTCCAGGAGCACAGCATGTAGAAGCTCAGCTCTTGCCTGGCTGTGCAGCAATGCCGGTGCTGCTGATTGGCTGGACAGGAGAAGGAGCTTTCACGTGCTCTGTACCTGAGAGGTTGGAGCTGAGGTGTGCCTGAAAGTAAGGGGGTGGATGGGAGAAGTGGAGGGGGGTAGGAGGCTACTATGGCTTTGTCTCAGGTCCCAATGAGGGCATAGGACCAGAGTCAGCTACAGCAGCTCCCTGCTCCCAACTCTGCTTCATATGCGAATAAAAGATGAGGGAGGTTTTCCCTGTGCTGATTGGGGGCTGGGGGAACCTCATTTTATATTCAAATACATATGGTATTTTATGCCAAGGTGGTGATGATAGAAGACTTCTTTCAGTATGATTGTTTGTTTTAGCAGATGGTTCCTTTTTATTTTTGTCATGTGATCAGATTCATTTACTTGGGGGTTTCATCATGATCACACAGGATTTTTTGGGTTAATTTTCCACACAATAGATGGTCTCAGTTCTGTTATGTTCCCTTTTGTCCCAATTGTTTAAAAACATGATTTCTGAAATAC